GTCAAAAACGACTCAGGACGAAAAACCGGTCCCGGGGACATGGTCGGGACTTCCAAGGACGCCCTTCTGAAAAAATCAGGACGTCGCATGTTTGGGGACCCATTCCCCGGGGCCGGTTCTTCGTCCTGAGCCGCTGTTTGGCGGTCCCGAGGGCCAGCATCTGGGCCACCTGAGGCCGAAGACAGCGAAAAGAGCCTCCCGCCGTGATCTTTCCAACTGACCCGAGGGGGTCTGGGGGCGTGGCGTCGGGATCGAGGTACATCTGCCAAGGTGGTCGGCCACCGACAAGGGCCCTCCCCCTCCCCCTTTTCCACTCCTCCTCCTCTCCTCCTCCTCCCTCCCTTCTTCTACCTCCTCCTCCCCTCCCCCTCCTCCTCCCCCTCCTCCTCTCCTCCCTCCTCTCCTCCTCCTCCTCCTCCTCCTCCTCCTCCTCCTCCAAGCGCCAGGACGCTTCGGCGGCGAGGTGCGCCTGCGGCCTCCACCCTTCCGAGCCTCCACGAGCCTGTGCGGGCGCACGGCCCCCCCTGACCCAGACGCCTCGGGAATGTCGTGCGGCGCAGTGAACCTGGCGCCTCCAGGCGGGGAGGGAGATGGACGGGAAGCCCAAAGCAAAACTACACGGGCGAATTTCGGAGACCCGGAACCCAAAAAAGGTTTTCATCTCTTGGGGGGCTCCTGCCGCCTTCCGCCGAGCTTCCGCCGGCGGAGACGGCCTGAGTTTGCTTCCGCCGCCCTTCCGCGGCCTCCGCGGAAGAGATGACAATTCCTTCGATCATCGGAGGCAAGGCCCTTTTTGGAACGCGTCGCATGTTTCTACCCTAGCCCGACACCTTCTCTTCTTCGTCGCTCCACCATGCGGTTTGTCAGAGCTGGGCCAGTCTGGCTGAAATAGGCGCACCCGTCCACAGGAGATCTCCCTGCGCTGGCGAGCAGGCACAGCAACCGCTGTATCTTTCCGTTGGCATCAACGCCCGACGTCCGACGCGCGACGCCCGACGCGCCCGACGCGCACCTCGCCGCGCCGCTGATCCCGACGACGACGACATGATTACTTAGCGGGCATCGTTGGCCTCCGCGAAAGCCGGGGGTCGCGGGCGCGTGGGCCAAAGGCACGGACGAACGACGCCGCGATGCTGGCCCACAACGCCTGCTGCGCTGCCGCCATCCCGGCAGGTCTCGCCGGAAACCAGGGGTGCAGAAGGGCAAAGGAACGGATACCTGCATGCTCGTGCTTCGTGGGCGGAGGGAGCCAGCCCTGGGCAGTGCAGGCTCCCTCCTCCCTCCAACTCCTGAATTATCTTTCTGTCTCCCCTCTCTCCCTCTCTCCCTCCGCATTCGATGCCGTCTCCGACGCCGTGCCCGACGGCCCTCCCGACGGCCAAACCGACACCCTGCCCGACTCCCCGCCCGACGCGCTTCCCGGCAGCTGGCCCGTCGGCCTCACCCGGCGCCGCACCTGACGCCCCACCCGGCAGCCTGCCCGACGCCGCTCCCGGCGCCGCGACCGACGGCCTCCCCGACCACCTTCCCCGCCCCCTTTCCCGACAGCCCTCCCGACGGCCCACCCGACAGCCTGCCCCACGACTGGCCCGCCGCCGCTCCCGACCGCCGCAGTCCGACGCCGGATGCCCCTTCCGACTCCGTTGCCGCGCCGCCAGCAGCGCCGTGCCCGGCAGCCTCCCCGGCCACCTTCCCGACCTCCCTCCTGACGGCCTCCTCGGCGCACTGCCCGTTGCCCTCCCCAGTTATCTTCCAGTGGAAGATGTGCGCGGCAGTATGCAGGCGCGGCTCGTGGAGCTGTCGCGGGAGGACGAGGCGCAGCTGTAACCCTAGACATGCGACGTCCTGATTTTTTCAGGACGGCGTCCCCCGAATTCCCGACCCGTTCTCCGAGGCCGGTTTTTTGCCCTGAGTCGTTTTTTGACGGTCCCGAGGCCCAGCGAGGGCCCCCCAAGGGCCGAAAATCATGAAAAACTTGCCGTCCTGATTTTTCACGACGCGATCATGTCTGGGACTACAGATGTTGATCGCACTTGACCGCGACCAGCCGAGCACGTCGGCGCGCTTCTCTGAGTGGCTTCAGCGCCTCGCATCCCTCCTCCCCTGCCTTTGTTGTGCGTGTGCCTCCTTCCCTATCCTTAGGTCGGGCACGTCCCCCTACAGGCAGATTTTGGAAGAAACATGAAAACGACCTCCCCAATGCCCCACAAATATCAACACATTGTCAAAACATCGTCCCCAGAGTGTTTTTTTATATGTTCGGATGTTTTTTTTTTTTGTTTGTTTGTTTTTGTTTGTTTGTTTATTTTGTGTGTGTGTGTGTGCGTGAGAGGCAATCTTGGAATATTCCCCCTGTAGAGGGACCCGCCCGACCCGCCACGCCTGGCCTGGCCCCTGCCGCGCCGTGCCCTCGCTCCTCTCCCCCCCGGCGCTGCCCCTCCACCACCCGGCGTCGGCCCGCCGTCCCTCGCGTCCCCTGCCCGCCTCCTCCTCCCCCCCCCCTCCCGCTGCCGCTCCTGGCTCCCCGCTCTCTCGCTCTCTCGCCCTCTCGCTCCTCCTCCTCCTCCTCCTCCTCCTCCTCCTCCTCTTCTTCTTCTTCTTCCTCCTCCTCCTCCTCCTCCTCTTCTTCTTCCTCCTCCTCCTCCTCCTCTTCCTCCTCCTCCTCCTCCTCCTCCTCCTCTTCCTCCTCCTCCTCCTCCTCTGCTCTGTTCCCAGTTTCAACGGCGTCGGTTTAGGCGCCGCTGTACTGGTTCGGCCGATGGTGCCCCCCCACAAAAAAATACTCCTCCTCCCTCCTCTTACTCCTCTCCTCCTCCTCCTTCCTAATCCTCCCCTCCTCTCCTCCTCCTCCTCCTCCTCCCCTCCTCCTCCTCCTCCTCCTCCTCCTCCTCCTCCTCCTCCTCCTCCTCCTCCTCCCCCCTTCCGCTGTCGCTCTCTCGCTCTCCTCTCTGCGGGGCCCTTCTTGCCCCTGTCTTGCTAACCCCCTTGTCGTGCGAATTCGTGTCCTGTTGGGCGGGCTGGTGTTCGCCCTGCCCTAATCTCGCTTCCTTGCCGCTTCCCTTTCCGGGAGCCTGGCGTTCGTCCGCTGGGCCGTGCATGACAAGAGCTCGTGTGGCTTCCCGCTCCAGCTGCATGCGACCGAACGTGTGTGTGTGTGTGTGTGTGGCTGGTTCGCAACCGACTTCTCGCCTTGCTCTGCCTCGTCGCCGCGCGCGAGGCCGCTCTCGCCAAACAAAGTGTGTGTGTGTGTGTGTGTGTGCGGTGTGGTGTGCTCTGGCCCCCTTGCCTTTCTCGTGGGTTTCGCCTTGTGCGAAGCGTACGGTCCACTCCAGACGTATCGAGTCCAACATGCGTCCACTGTTTGGCCTGAAGTCCCTGCGGTCGTGGCCCTCCACAGGGAAGATGCGAGCAGAAACAGCAGCCCCTGGTGTGGTGTTGTGGCCCATTCTCCACTTCAGCATCCCCCCTGGCGCCTCCCCTCCCCCCACCCCACAGCGCGGCGCTTTAGCGCGGCAATGTAACCGGATTGAACAACTCATGCTCATCCAACTCGTCGCACCCGCTTCCGCTTCGGCAGCCAGCTCGGCAAACGCTTTGGCGTCTGTGCCCACACGCTGCGCGGCGTCTCAATGTGGATCGAGCTCGAAGGCACTCGCCAAGGTCTCCGCGACCGACGCGTCGCTCAGTAGTCGCCCCCCCGGCAAGACGGCGTCGACTCGCACGAGTCCGAAGCCATGCCTGCCCACCTGGTGAGTGGCCGTCAGCTGCTCTTGAATGATGGCTAGACGAGCGTCTGGTGCGGCTCGACATCGGTAACGCTCCACCCCACTAAACGTCGTGAAGCAAATCGAGTCGCCGTCGACAAATGCCTGCAAGAGCAGCGTGGGCAAGAGATGAGGCACGTAAGTGAGACCTTCCGCCGGCGCCGGGAGGTTGCATTGGCCGTCGTTATTCCAGCCACACGCCACGGCGGTGCCATCGCTCTGAAGCAGAACAGTGAGGAGTCCTCCAGCGGCCACCTGCGTGAACCTCAAACCTTCCCCCAGCGCGGGGAGGTCGCACTGTCCCTCGCCATTCCCGCCGCACGCTACGGCGGTGCCATCGCTCTGGAGCAAAACGGTGTGCAATGCTCCAGCGGCCACCTGCGTGAAGTCCAGGCCTTCCGCCGGGGCAGGGAGGTTGCACTGGCCGTCATCACTCCAGCCACACGCCACGGCGGTGCCATCGCTCTGGAGCAGAACAGTGTGGAGTGCTCCAGCGGCCACCTGCGTGAACCTCAGGCCCTCCGCCCGCGCGGGGAGGTCGCACTGTGCCTCGCCAATCCCGCCACACGCCACGGCGGTGCCATCGTTCTGGAGCAGAACGGTGTGGGACTTTCCAGCGGCCACCTGCGTGAAGCTTAGTCCTTCCGCCGGCGCTGGGAGGTCGCACTGGCCCTCGCCATTCCCACCACGCGCCACGGCTGTGCCGTCGCTCTGGAGCAGAACGGTGTGGAATGCCCCAGCGGCCACCTGCGTGAAGCCCAGGCCTTCCGCCGGCGCAGGGAGGTCGCACTGGCCAAAGTCGTTGGCGCCACACGCCACGGCGGTGCCATCGCTCTGGAGCAGAACGGTGTGGCGCACCCCAACGGCCACTCGCGTGAAGCTCAGGCCTTCCGCCAGCGCTGGGAGGTCGCACTGGCCACAGTCGTTGGCGCCACGCACCACGGCGGTGCCATCGCTCTGGAGCAGAGCGGTGTGGCGCACCCCAGCGGCGACCATCTGCGAGGGCCGCCCGCCGCGCGGGGCTCCGGGGGCGCTCGGGGCTTGGGCCGCAGCGGCCGCGGCGAGGCGGACGAGGCGGCCCCCCAGCCGAGGGGCTGGCGCGTCGGCTGCACGCAGGAGTGACCCCCAGGAGTTGGAGTACAATGTGTCCATCGGCGCTGGCGCTTTGGGCTAGAACGTGAGCGCGGTATTTGGCATCGGCCTCAGATACTGGTCTTCCAGAAGCAGGTCGACTTGGCCCTCCAACCTAGGAGTGACCTTTGGTGCGTGGCTTCTTTGGGGCCGCGGGAGAGGCCGCATCAGCGCAGTCTCGGCGCACCGGCCAGTGCTGGCGGGGCCCCCGAGGGCCCGCACCAGAAGGCCACTCCAATGAAGGTTCACTCTTACGCGCAGTCCCAGAAAGAGAGAGCCGGTTAAGTACTGGACTCCGCAGGTGCCCCGGACCGTGAGGCTTGCTCGTCGGCGGCGAGGCAGAGGCAGTCCGCACCAGCGTGGGGCTACTCGGGGCAACCGATCGGCAAATTGTCCAGCGCGTGAGAGAGAGAGAGAGAGAGAGAGAGGCGAAGACGAGGGCGGCCGCGCGAAGGGAGGAGGGGGAGGGCGCTCACCGGACCGCCAGACATCCGACGGATCGAGTCGTGTCCAGCCCGCCAGCCCGAGCCCACCTCGAGACCCCCCCCCTCAAGCAGGACTCTCCGGGAGCGGGCCGGGGAAGGCCGAGGGCGAGGCGAGAGCATGTCCTCCAAGAGGGCCCCAGCACAGTAGGAGCTCGGCCACAAGAAACCTTCAAACAGAAACCCAACCCTGAGACCCCAGGACGTCCTTTGACTTCTGGTGGGAACGTCACGCCTTCCCTCGCAAGAAACCCAAGAAACCCAGGCACCCTGGAGGCAAGCAAGGTGTTTCTTGGCATGGATTCCCACTGTACGGAGGACTGTAGGGTTAGGTCGGGCATGTCCCCCTACAGGCAGATTTTTGACGAAAAATTAAACGTAGTCGAACAATACAAGTAAATTGTCACGCGTAATCAAAAGACGTCCCCGTACCATTTCTAAATTACGTTTTTGAATTTTCCTCCTATAGAAGGACACGCCCGACTTAACTGTAGGGCACCGAAGGCTCCCCTGCATGGCCCAAAGGTGGCCCAGGTGAGCTGCCAAGCGGCCCCGTGTCGAGAGATCCGCGCAGGAATTTATGGTTAGGTCGGGCATGTCCCCCGTTTTTTTTTTTTTTTTTTTTTTTTTTTTTTTTTTTTTTTTTTTTTTTTTTTTTTTTTTTTTTTTTTTTTTTTTTTTTTTTTTGTGTGTGTTATATATACATATATATATACAAGCATAGAGTAAACATACGCCATAATACACATATATAGATGTATTACGTACTCAACAGTTCCCCATAATAGTCAAACAACCGTCCCCATACTATTTTTGGATTAGCCCACCAGCCCTTTAAGGCGTATAGAGGTGGTTTTGGGATTTCCTCTTCCAACCCCCTTCTTCCCCTTCGAGGAGGGGTTCACCCCTCGCCCCCATTTCCTCCCCTGGACCTGGACGGGGGCTTTTGCGAGCGGTCAGAGCGTCCAAAATGGCCCAAGACGGCTCCAAGAGTGCCTCGGGGACCACAAGATAACCTCCAAAATGGCTTCGGGTAGCCCGAGGTGCCTCAAGATGGCTCCCAGCTCCAAGAAGCCTCAATATCGTTCCAAGACGGTTCCAAGACGCTTCTGAAACCTCAACGGAGGCCTCCACAAGGACAGCCGAAGGAACGCCAGTGATTTTGTCTTCTCGCTTTTTCGCTTCCATTGGCGTTCTGGGGCGTCAAGAAGGCTCCAAGATGGCCCAAGAGAGCCCCGAGAGGGGCCCAATATAACCCCAAGACTGGCCCACAAGCGCCCAAGAGCGCCCCAGATCCCAAAGGCGATTTGTGGGGCTCCCGGAGGGGGGGGGGGGCTAGTTGGAGCACCCCTCTTCTTTGATCGATGTCTTCCAAAATTGCCCCACGAGGCGCCCAGGAGGCCCCAAAAAACCCCAATATGGCCCCAACATGGCCCCAATGGGGCCCCCAAGAGGTCTCCAGGAGGCCCCTCAGAGGACCCAAAAAGGCTCCAAAAGGCTCTCCCGAGGCACGCAAAACGCCCAAGGGCCCCAGGACCTCCAAGAGACCCCTAAGACGTCCCAAGAGGCCTCCAGGAAAATTATCCCGGCAAAGCAACCTAACAGCGATGTGTAGAAGCATATATGGAAGCATTCCCCTTAAGATCCAGATGAGAATCCAGTTGTAGAGTTCTCCTGTTCTCGCAGTCGCAGTCGCATTCGCGATGACAGTCGCAGTGGCAACGGCAGTCACAGTCACAGCCTCAGCCTGCCTCAGTATCAGCCTGCCTCAGCCTCAGCCTCAGCCTGCCTCAGCCTCAGCCTCAGCCTGCTTCAGCCTCAGCCTCAGTCTGCCTTCAGCCTCAGCCTCTGTGCCTCAGCCTGCCTCAGCATCAGCCTGCATCCGCCTCAGCCTCAGCCTCAGCCTCAGCCTGCCTCAGCATCAGCCTGCCTCAGCGTCTGCCTCAGACTCAGCCTTTCAGCCTCAGCCTCAGTCTGCCTTCAGCCTCAGCCTCAGCCTCAGCCTGCCTCAGCCTCAGCCTGCCTCAGCCTCAGCCTCAGCCTCAGCCTGCCTCAGCCTCAGCCTGCCTCAGCGTCTGCCTCAGCCTGCCTTCAGCCTCGGCCTCAGCCTCAGCCTGCCTCAGCCTCATCAGCCTCAGCCTGCCTGCCTCAGCCTCAGCCTCAGCCTCAGCATCACCATTCTCAGCCTCTGCATCAGCATCAAAATGCGGCCCGGGAATGGAGTTCTGGGAACTCGAAGAGCACGAAGTGGCCTACAGTTGGCTCCGGGCATTCAAAATGTGGCCCAGGAATGGAGTTCTGGGCACTCGAAGAGCACGAAGTGGCCTACAGTTGGCTCCGGGCATTCAAAATGTGGCCCGGGAGTGGAGTTCTGGGAAATCGAAGAGCACGAAGTGGCCTACAGTTGGCTCCGGGCATCCAAAATGTGGCCCGGGAATGGAATTCTGGGAAATAGAAGAGCACGAAATGGCCTACAGTTGGCTCCGGGCATCCAAAATGTGGCCCGGGAATGGAGTTCTGGGAAATGGAAGAGCACGAAGTGGCCTACAGTTGGCTCCGGGCATCCAAAATGTGGCCCGGGAATGGAGTTCTGGGAAATGGAAGAGCACGAAGTGGCCTACAGTTGCATCCGGCCCTCCAGAATGTGGCCTGGGAATGGAGTTCTGGGAAATCGAAGAGCACGAAGTGTGTGACTGTTTGTGAAAAACGAGCCCGGCACAGGCCCGCCCGCCCGGCAACTCCCAACACCTGCCCGGACCCCCCTGTGGAGTGATCTGTGAGCTCTTTTTAGACCACTAGAAACCTATCAGTCTTCGCTGTTAGGTAAAAACCAGATACCCCAAGAGGCTCCGAGAGGCATCCGAGAGACCTCTAGCCCTTTTGCTTGCCCTCCTCCTCCTGCTCCTCCTTCCTCCTCCTGCTCCTTGTGTTCCTCCTCCTCCGCCTCCTCCCCCCCCTTCTCCTCCTCCTCCTCCTCCTCCCCTTCCTCCTCCTCTCCATCCTCGTTCTCCCCACTCCCTCATCCATCCATCCAACCTCCTTCTCTTCTTGCCCCCTTCGCACGGTTCGGCCGTCCCCCCCTTTGCTCCTGCACTTCCCCGATCACCCCAACTCGCCTGGACATCGTATCTGGATGGGCTGGTGGGATAGATTTTTTTGGGCCCGCGGGCGCGCGAAGACGAGTCGAACGCTGAACGTGCTAGGGCGGGCCGCACTCCGTAGCAAAGGGAAAAACAAACAATGAGGCGAGCGGCGACCAGCAGGCGGAAGGGAAGTACGGTAGTGCCACCCGGCCTGCGAACAACTCCCGGAAGAACGTGCCGAAGACGAAGAGCACGATGACCAGGGGCGGAGCCACCCTTGCCGAACAAGAAGAGCTTGAAGTGCCCGGAGAGCACCAGGCGAGTGATGGACGCAGCCGAAATGGCGGCAGGTGGGATTTTTTGATCGCGAACGCGCCGGAGGAGCTGGGCGCCGTCAAGTCGCAGCACGCCGTCAAGTCGCAGCTACGGGCTGCGAGCGAATTGCGCACCGGGCGGGAGGAGGGAAAAGGCGACGAGAGAAAAAGGCATGTGGGGATTTTTTTTGGTCAACAGGCTCGCGAGGCGGGTCGAAAACCGTCCGAACACTAGTCGGGCCGCGACTAGGCAGCAAGAAAAGGAAGGCAAGCAAAGCGAGCGAGTGGGCAGCCACTCAGAAAGCCAGAACCGATACTCCCAAGCTCGGTGGCGTTGGAAATCCCGGTGGCGACCAGCAAGTAAACGCAGCCAAGATGGCGCGGCGGCGCGACCATCAACGCGCAGGTCGATCGCTCGGTGTGACTCTGGCAAACAGCACCGTCAGAGACGAACTAGACCGACAAACACACCCAGACGGCATCCGTGAAATAGGCGACACAAATGCCAAACCATCGTGTCGGCGCAAGAGTGAAGAGGGGCAGCCTCATCACCGCCAAGACTGTTAACGGCAGTAAAACCTGTACCACTTGTCGAAAGCGAAATCCATGCAGGAGAACGCCGGCCAACGAGGGCACAGAGCCACACTTGCCGAACCCGGTCCAGGTACCTTCAGGTAGGCAGTGTAGCGAGAGACCCACAGGAACCTTCCGGTCATCAGTAGGGGCCGACACCAGCCAAGAGCAGGCCAGGGGGCACCTGACCTCAGCGAGTGTGACGCAGCACCGTTCCCTGTGTGAACCCTTGCACGAATTCCAAACCACTTGAACGCCATCAGAAAGCAGTATTGGGCAGCAAACCCCAGCCGCCAGGGAGAACACTGTGAAACAGGAGTGAGAGCACCCCAGTGCAACAGCTGGCCGCGGTGGCATAAGGATGCAGGAGGAGAGCTGGTGGGGGCACTTTTTGGTCAACAGGCTCGCGAGGCGTGTCGAAAGCCGTCCAAACACTAGCTGGTGGGGATACTTTTTTGATTTTTT